TTTCTGAAGAATAGTCTAGGCCCGAAACGTCAGCCTTCCTGCTCCTCTGATGCTGCTTGGCCTGCTGTGTTCATCCAGCTCTACACCTTGTTATCTCAGATTCTCCAGGATCTGCAGTTCCTACTACCTCTGTATTTAAAACTGGTTTAGTTAACAATATCTCGTCTGCGCGAAGACTATTACGAGCCCCCAGAAGTGGATCATCAGTAACTCAGCCTACGAGCAATATCTGCCCACAACAGCAAGGCATGTTACAGGTGTAGTGGACATTTACCCACTTAAGCCTGACCATTCAACCAAATCTTGGCTGATTGGTCCCTCAACTCCATTGAACTGCTATTGTTCTATTTCTCTTGATACTCAAGTGTAACAAAGATCTACCTCGGTTTTGAAAGGTTTAATTAGCTAAGCATCCACATCCCCCTTTTGAGAGGGCTTGTTTTCTTTTTCGAGAGGGTGAGATATGGGGGTGGAAGCAGGCTGAAAGCAAAGAGGCCCAGATTTCCACTGACCTTTGAGTAATGTTTCTTGACTTTGCTCTTAAATGGTTTCATTTAAAACAATGTGCCTTTGTTCAACATTCTCTCAAAGCAAATTACATCTCCCATATCAATCCTATTGAATCCTTTAACCATCTTAAGGACTACCCTTTCTGTAAATCATCATCATTTCCATTAGTAATCAGAATTTTCAGGAATTCTACTTGGCTGTCATCTGACAATTAAAACAAGCTCACTGTAAACTGTGAGATAGTAGGAACTGCCGATGCTGGAGTCAGCTCCACACTGTGTTATCATTGTAAACTGTGGTTCAGTCACCAGCATTGTTTCTCACTTCAGTGTCAGAAGGTTGCTGTTTAAGTTCTGTCCCAGAGATTGGAGTACATAAGCTTGACTGACAGTCCAATGCAGTGCCGAGGGGTTGCTGCACAGTCAGGAATATCATCTTTCGGACGCAAATTTAAACAAAATCCCTTCTGTCCACTGGGCTCCCATCAAAGATCCCATGGCACTATTTTGAAGAGGAGCAGGGAATTTCCCACTTGTGTTTGGTCCAGTATTTATCCCTTAATCAACTTCACTAAAACAGATCATCTATTCACTGTGTGTGGAATCTTACTGTTAACAAATTGGCTGTTTCATTTCCTAAGTTACAACAATGATTACATTTCAAAAGTATTCAATTGACTTAAAGGCACTTGAGTCATTTGGTGGTCATGAAAATAACTATAAATGCAAGACTTACTTTCTTTCAATCCTTATGGTCCTGCTCCAGCACTCTTTTTTCAGAGTCCCATTTTATAAAATGTTTTGACATTGTCCCTCAAGAATTAATTTAACTGGCTATACCTAAGCAGCGTTTTTGAAGCCTCAATGGGATAGGTAGGCGTTAAGGCATCTCCTTTGTGTTATTTGGGATATTGGACATTCACATTCCCACTATTCTTCTTTGAAAATGTCCTCGTACAGCAAATGGATACATTAAAAAAATATGCTGATGTGAAAGGCTGTGGCTTTTGACAGAACGCTTACTGTTTTGCCAAATGGAGCTCAACATTCTTCAAGCCTGGGAAACGTTCCTTCCAATTGTTCGACAAGCCAAAAACATCAAGTCAACGTCTTAACCTTAGGGCTGTGGAATTCTTTGACCTCAGGAATCACAACTTAGTTGTTACAAAACACCTACTTCGGTCCCACTGCATCCGGGCCCTCATCTTTTCATTGATGCCAATGCTTTAGATATATGTTCTCATTCTTCAATGCAACACTAATGCCCATACACCAACACTTTGAACACTAATTTTATCCATCACAGTTTATATCGATAACACTAACACTGAGCACTTTTACCCATCATTACATTAATGCCTATGTACATTCAAGCATTGAATAATATTTAGAATTACATTAACACCTATGTTGAAACATTGGTATCATTAAGTATATTGTAAACACCTACTTCATCCCCACTGCATCCTGCCCCACAGGCTCACGACGCTTCCGATTGCCACCCTTCTTCAGGACAAAGCCCTCTGGGAACCACAGCGGGCCCAGCTTGCGCTTGCGTTTAGCTGCTACAACACCCATTATCAGGATAAGGATGATGATCCCTACAGCAACCATCAAAAGGTACAGGAGGCTCAGCGATTTCTGGATTCTATCATCACCAGGTTTACCTGTACAGAAAACAAATAACACTCATGTATCAGCAAAGACAAGCACCAAAAATCAAAAATCTAATTTCCTCTATTTGAGTTTAGAGTTGACCGAAACATTAAATCGCTTGCAATTAATATAGTTAAGAAAATAATTCTTTCTGCACAGTGCAAATTCAATTTAATAGGATAGTCAGTCATTATTAGTTGCACTTGGCCCAGCACTTTCTCGTTTTGCCCCAATATATGAAAGCCACTAAGAAATGGATAAGATCAGAAGGGGTGGGTGTGGGGTATATGCATGGTATGTGTGCATGTGGGGGGCTGGCATGTTTGCAGTCAACACACATTTGCAGCAAAGTTAACGAGCATACACCTTCCATCTTGTGGGCTACCTGTTGAACTCCAAAAATCTTTAGCTAATGCTGAGTGTTATTTTCTTGGTCTTGCCAGAGACAACTTGCTGATAGCTCCACTTCAACTAATGCTTGGAAGTGACACTCCTAGTCAACCTCATTAATGCTAGGGTTTTATTTATTGTTTGCACATTTATTTCTGCAGCATGACACACAAACATCAGTGTGCTCGATTAGTAGTCAGGTCCCATTTATTAAAATTATGCTATACTTTATATTGCTAATCTACGGTGCCTAGAAAGAATGTCAAGTTGCAGGTCTGAAAATCTTTGCCCAGCTGGTTTCTTCAGCATCCGATCTATGTTCTTCTCAAATTATCGGCAGCGTTTGGCACGGTTGACACAGTATTGTACTGCAATGCTTCTCCACTGTCGGCCAGTACTGTACATACCTGGTTCCACTCTTATTTATCCAGTTGGGTCAGAGAATCTCTGCAATGGTGCTTTTCCTGCTCCTACACCATTAGTCCAAGGATCTAATGTTGGTCTCTTCCTATTTCTCTTCTATGTGCTGCTCTTTAACACCATCTAAAAACACAGTATCAGGTTCCACAGATACTCTGACAACACCCAGTTTCACTTCACCTCCATCCCGCTCAATCTCTCACCCATCTCTAAATGGTTAAGACTGCTTATCTAACATCTGGTACTGAATGGCAGGAATTTCTTCTAACTAAATCATCAACCATCAACGCCATTCTTCTCCCTGGCAAGAAGACCATTTGCAACATCAGTGTCATATCTGACAGCATATTCACGCTACTATCAAGATCACTTATTTCCATTCCTGCCTCAGCTCGTCCTAATTCTTCATCCATTTGTTTATCTCTAAATTTGACTGTTCCAACACACTCCTGACTGGCCTCCCAACATTCTCTGTCCACCATTAAATTTCCCACAAAGCATAAACTAGAGGTCATCCAAACTCTGCCGCTGATATCCAACTCATACCAATTCTGACATGCCATTGCTCCCAGATAAGTGACACCAAGATTTTTATATTCCATTGTTTTCAAATCCCTTGATGCCTTGCCCCTCCATGTCTTTATTACCTGCCCCAGTCCTACATCCCTTGAAAATGCTGGTGAAGCTCTAACTCCGGCTTCTCGAATATCCTTAATTTAATTGCTATGACATTGATAACTCCAACTTCAGCTGCCTTTAGCCTGAGCTCTTGACTTTCTTCCCTAAATCTCTCTCTTTCTTTCTCTCTCTCTTTCTCTCTTTCATAGGCAGGCCTTTTAGAATCTCTTCGAGCAGGCTTTTAGTTACCGGCCCTAATTTCATCGCGTGGCTTGGTGTCAAATTGTGTTTAACAATAAAAGGCACTTCATAGGAGTATTGCATCAAAACTGTAAACACAACTTGCTGCTGTTTCTATAAATTAATGGAGATTAGCAATCAATTTTACCTCATTACAGTATTTTTTAATTTGTCAGGCAGCAATGTTTCTAATGAGAGGTCATTATTGCCCTCCAAAATGTCAAACACAGATATACGTGGCAGTTGTATAAACACAAAGCAATTTCAACCAGGAGGTTCATCTATTGAAGAGGTTATCAAAATAAGTGGAGAGACCTGCAAAGGAAATTGACTTAAATAGTACTGGGGTTGAGGGACTTAAGAAGAGAATGGAAAGGCTGGGTAGGTCTTGTTTAAACAGAGCAAGTTAAATGCAGACTGAATAAATATGCTCAAAGTCACAATGCTTTCTGGTAGAGAATATGTAGAGAATATTAAGAGACAGAGACAGATTATTTCCACTGGAACTAGGGTCAGTAACTAGAGGACAGAGCTTTGAGGTAATTGCCAAAAAAAAAGCCAAGAACTTCTCCTCAGCCACAGGTTGTAATGATCTGAACTACCTATCAATGGAATGTGTTGTAAAAGATATCCGCACCTGGCAGTGACAGGATCTCCCTTTGAGTAGATTTGCTGCCACCAACTGTTCTTGTAGTACTGTTCTATGGGACCCATTAGTATGAGGTGGTGAAGGATTAACCACTAATATATCTTCAACAAAGAAGGCACACAGCTCAGCATCAAGCAGTAGTTTATTGCATAAAAGTTAGATAGCAGGCTGCATTCGCTTAAATTTGGTTAATTATATGAACCCTAGGCAAGACAACATTGATATTTCCCAAGACAAAGTAACTAGGCCTATCTTACATGGCTGTAGACTGACCAACTTGGAACTAAGGTAGACTAACTCGCTCCTCCCCAGAGACAGTTATTTATATCTCAGTGGAGATGGAAATATCAAAGCTTTTGAGTTAACCCTTTCAGGCCAAATACCTTTTACAACAGAATATCCTGTCAGAAAGGATGATGGGAGAAGGTTCAATACCAATTTCCAAAGAGGGAACTGGATAATACTTTAAGGGGGGAAAAAATGACAGAGCTATGGAAAAAGAAGTGAGAAGTGGGTCTCGGATAACACAGTGTGGAGATGGAGGAACACAGCAGGCCAGGTAGCACCAGAGGAGCAGGAATCGGGTCGGGATCCTTCTTCAGAAATGGGACTAATTGGATAGCTCTTTTAAAATGGGAATGATGGGCCAAATGGCTTTCTTCTGCACTGTATGGCTCATTTGGCAATAACAGTACAGATCAGTATGGTAACAGCAAAAGCTAGGGCTCGAGGAGAAGAGTTTGCAACACCCACTAAGTACTGATGACAACTGATATACAGTGACAATTCTTCATTGGCTTACAAAAGCGATGATCAGTAGAGAAAACTGTAAAGAGCTACAAATGTATGTCTCCTCTGTTAAGTTTATGGTGCCAGGCTGTTTAGGTTCGATTTTACGAGATTGATTTGAATATAAAGGGCTTGAAGGTAAAACAATGGTACGTTTGTACTTGTGTGTAGCTCCACCTGGGTCTCAGTTAAGGTGTGACTAATGATGGCTGTACTGTAGCGTGTGGCTCACCTCCTCATCCATCCTGCAACATTGGAAGTTCAATTGAGAGTGAAGAACGGAGAGATTTATCAGATTATCATCTCAGATTGAAAAACAACCTTGTAAAGCTGGTCTACGACCTTACTTCTTCCAATCCCATAGCATGCGGTGACATTGAATTATTTCAGTGCAACAAAGGTGGGTAATGAATGCTGCCTTACCACCCATTACCAAGACGTACAAACCTCAAAGAGCAGCCACACTCTCAGAAACTTTACATACTGTTGGGAAGTGGAGGTGGTGAAAATGTTTACTATAAAGCGCAACCACAGCTAATTTTTAATTCTAGTTCAATAAGCATTCCCACAAATTGGCAAATGGCAATGGTTGAAGTCTCAGCATTTCCTGGAGTGCATTTCGTTGGAAGTTTTTTTTTGAGGGGGGGGTGGCAGGCGGTTAAATTGCCAGGTTTGGTAACTAGGCCACACTTACTTTCAACAGACTTAATTGGGTAAGGCAGGTGGCCCTTGCTGGACTGGGCAGCAATGAAGGCAGCAGCACTGTCGGTTGATGGGAAGCAATCTTCGGATGTCTGAAAACACTGACGATTGTCAATCTCCAAGCAGACTTCAGAACTGTGGTGTGAATAACAAGAAAAAGTCATAAATGCCAAGGTCAAATATAAAATTGGAACGGGTTTACGATCGCTCAACCCATTTGTGTCTGTGACAAGTCTCTTTGCTGCATCTTACCCTGCCTCTTAATTTTATCCACAATCCTTCGAAAAATGCTTTAATTAGTCTTTGACAAAGCATCCTACACTCCAAATGCCCTATCTTAAAAAAGAATGAATTCGACCAACCACTCTTTCCATTATCTGTGACACAAACATCTTCTCATCCCAAATAAAAATCTGAAAGAACTGCGGGCGCTGTCGATCTGAAAACAAAGCAGAAATTGCTGGAAAAGCTCAGCAGGTCTGCTGGAGAGAAATTAGTGTTAATGTTTCAGGAGGAAGTTCTGAGGAAGGGTCACCGGACTGAAAATGTTAACTCTGATTTCCCTCCAGCAGGCCTGCTGAGCTTTTCCAGCAATTTCTGTTTCTGTATCTTCTCATTGCAAACAGGCAGAAAATTAGCTTTGCCATATTGACTTAGACAAAACCCAATGTAATTTTTAAGAAAAAGCTTAAATTTGAGGTTAGACACCTCTGCACCAGAGGAACAGACCTAAAAAGTCCAAACTCTTTCCGTTGCCATTGTTTCACAACCTCTGTATTATCCCAATAATTCTTTCTGTACAGTTTCTCTGCGCTATTTATATTTGGATATCTCTCAACACTTCAGCTGTAACATAACCATTACCTCAACTCTCACACTCCACGCCCCTATTTATTAAACTCAAAATGTTAATAAACATTTTCGTGGATTTACTGACTCATATTTTTCCCACCATTATTTACTGTGGTAGGTCCCAACTACTTCAGCATTACGTCCTATCGAAAAATGCCAATTAAATTGCATCTGTCTATTCTTGCGACGTACCTATTCTCTTTATCAAGCCCCTAATTCCGATTTGTTGGTGCTTTTAAATGTTGTGTGCTGCTGTTCAAGTTTATATGATGCATTCACAGAACCAAAGAACTCGGCATTGAGTCTTGGGGTTCACCATTTTTCCAACCTGGTGTTAAGTCAATCGTGCAGCTTCATTCCTGTATGACACACAGGAATTTGTGTAATATGTTTCCGAAGAGATAACCTTACTAAATGCCTTCTGAAAATTCTTTCTTTTGTAGTATCCCCTTTAGCTGTAAAAACACTCATCTAAGTTTGCAAAACTTGCCTTCCATGAATAAAACTGTCCTTCATTATCTGGTGCTCAGTGAAGTATTCACCAATGGAATTAAGGATTAAGGGATTAAAGGGTTTGTCCACAACTGACATTAGACTAACAACTACAGTCAATAAAAACCAAAAGAACTGTGGATACTGGAAATCAGAAACACACAAATAGAAATTGCTGGAAAAGCTCAACTGATCTGGCAGCATCTGTGGAGAGAAAGCAGAGTTAATGTTTCGGGTCCAGCGACCCTTCCTCAATCTGCTCCTATGATGCTGCTTGGCCTGCTGTGTTCATCCAGCCCTGCACCTTGTTGTCTCAGAACTTGAGTTCTGGTTTACCCTTCTCCTTCCTTCAGTACTCAAATCTTCAACAAAGCCATTTCTATTGACTGCTTTTCAGTTTTTTTTTTGGCACTACTCCTATATTTAAAACAAAACTTCTTCCCTGTTCATTCCAGAAGTTGGTATCTACTGCTCAGTGTAGACAGATGCAGGGCAGCAGCAATGTAAATCGTGAGGCTGCGTTTCCAACTGCTTTGACTACTCATACTGCCCATTAACTGAGAATTAGCTCGCTGCGCAGTGGAACAGCACGACCATGGTGCATTTCAGAAAGCCCCTCCCCTACGTCCGAAACTCGTACACCAAGCAATAAAGCTTACACAGACTCAGAAATTCTTACCCGATAACTTCTCGCTCAAGCTCTCTCACTTTCCTGATAAACCTCTTCATCCTGGAGCCATGGCTGTAGTAAGGGAGGATCATTGGTTCCCCATTTTCATTTTTCTTGAATCTCACTACAGTATGCAGCAGGGCCCCAAGCCTTCGAAGGAAGTTTACAGCATCCTTGAGAAGCTCCTCTGGTGGCAGGAGAACAACCAGCACCAGCGTCCCCTTGGCCAGTCGCTCGGGCAGGTTGCCAACACAATCTAGGCCATCCCAGCCGCACTCCTCTGTGTTACAGCCCTGGTCGCATCGTCCATCTTGATAGTGGTCAGCACAGTACTTCTCATAAAACGGGCTGCGTGGATCGAAAGGGGGATAGGTTAGACAGCAAGCTTCAAAAATCAATCTTGCCCAGTTCCAACATTCACAGGCATGAAAGTGTCCACAAAAACCCACACAGCTACAGCTTTTTGTTCTACGCACAAGGCAGAGGAGCACAAAGACAGTAACATGCATCAGCTGGAATCCAAATAGTATGTTAAAATAAACATGAAGCTATGGGTTCGGTGAGTAGAATTCCTGCCACCAAGGCAGAAGGTCACGGGTACAAGTCCCGTTCCAGGGACTTGCTGACAAAATCTAGGTCGAAACTCTGCAGCTGTACTGAGGGAGGTCTGCACTGTCAGAGGTGCCACTTTTCAGACGAATGCTTTACCAAGAGCCCATTTGCCCTCTTGGGGCATAAAAAGTTCATAATGGCTATTTTGAAAAAAAATGTCCTACCTAGCCAACATATATTCCTCACTAACATCACTAAATGAGGTGGTAATTCTTACATTGTTCCTTGTGGGAGTTTGCTCTGTACAAATTGACTGTCGCATTACCTACATTACAAGTTCAGATGGTGTGGCTGGATTTGTGTGGAAGCTCGCTAAGTGGTTGTGGGAGAAAGAAACAGAAGGTTAACCTTTTTTTGGGGTGGGGGGGTTGCAGTCAAGGAATCTCATGTGTTGCATAAACGTTGTGTCTTGCCAATCAGGCTAAGCGGTCTTTTTCTTTGCTGCAAGCTCTCTGCGTTTTGTTGGCTGCAAAGCACTCTGGTGTGCTCTGAAAATGTAAATTGCACCGTTTAAAAGATAAATCCTCTTTCTTACCCAAACCATCTACATATTTCAACCTAACTTCAGACAGCTACCCAGAGAGAAAGAGCCCTGGGCCACGGTGCAGAATTTGAACGTACTTGCAGGTTTTCAGGGTGGACTGGCAGTCGAAGTTGTCGAACAGACACTCTGGAGTGTTGCAGGCCTCATCGCACTGATTGTTGTTGAAGTAGTTCCAGCATTGCAGGCTCTCGGTGCAGTTCTCCCAAGGTTTCAAGGTGAGTGAGCAGTCGCCGCCGTCCCACTCACACTCGTGGTTGTTGCACTCTTGGTGGCAGACTCGGTCCCTGGCCTTCTCCTTGCACAGTGGCAGCTGACAGCTCTTCCTCGCCAGCTCAGTGCATCTCAGCCCCCGGTACTGCAGGGGGCACTGGCAGCTGAAGAACGGCGGCGTGGACTTTGGGAGGCAGGTTCCGCCGTTGTGGCACAGCCTGGCAGAGCAGGTGGGCAGCTGGCATTCTGAGCCTCTGAATCCGTTCAAACACTGGCACCTGGGGCCCTGGGGGGTCATGAAACAAGTCCCACTGTTCTGGCACAACACCTGCCCGCAGGTGTAGTTGGTGTATTCGCAACTTGCTCCCACCACACCCTGCGGAGAGAATTAACGTCAGGTATAAGGATTATGTGGCACGATTACTCCTTCCCCTCTGACTGCTAAGTGCCTGGTCATGCAGGCAACCGCTTGCAGAATCACAAAACCACAACTGGTAGGTTTTCAGAGACTTTTAGACCCATAACGGATTTGCATGGAGCCATAGGCATCAGGGAAAACAGACTGCCAGACTGCGAAAAGGTACAAGTCTGGTTATCCAGCATCTGGACTGCTCAGGCTGTATGTCTGCACAAGTACAGGAAGCAGATCCTCTGCCCTCTGTGATCGAGCAGCCAGTCAGCAAAGGCCAGGTGCCCACTCATGAAACACTGGGGGGAAAACAAGTGCATGCAGGGTTCTCATTGGCATGAGAGAACAAATGAACTGCTTGGTTTTAGCAATCAAGCCACACAGGTAGCATTTGTAACTGGGGACAGTTCAGACGTGGAATGACAGAAATATGGGCTTCTTGGTCCTCAAAAGGAGGCTAACCTAACAGCAATATCCAAGATAGAAGGAACTGCAGATGCTGGAGAATTCGAGACAACAAGGTGCAGAGCTGGATGAACACAGCAGGCCAAGCAGCATCATAGGAGAAAGGCTGACGTTTCGGGTCTAGACCCTTCTTCAGAAATGGGGGAGGGGAAGGGGGTTCTGAAATAAATAGGGAGAGAGGGGGAGGCGGATAGAAGATGGATGGAGGAGAAGATAGGTGGAGAGGAAACAGACAGGTCAAAGAGGCGGGGATGGCCCCTGAGGTTTGTCCGGAGGGAGGAGGGTAACTTCTTCAGGCTAGGCATCCTTAGAAGAAGCTTCGCAGTGGGGTTAAAATTGTATCAGAGATAGTAGGAACTGCAGATGCTGGAGAATCCGAGACAACAAGGTGCAGAGCTGGATGAACACAGCAGGCCAAGCAGCATCATAGGAGCAGAAAGGCTGACGTTTTGGGCCTAGACCCTTCATCAGAAATGGGGGAGGGGAAGGGGGTTCTGAAATAAATAGGGAGAGAGGGGGAGGCGGATAGAAGATGGATAGGTGGAGAGGAAACAGACAGGTCGAAGACTTGGACAAAGGTAGATTCAGTTATGGCAAACTAAAGTGAGTTCAAGTTAGATAATGAGAAAATTACATGATAAAAAAAATCAATAGTTTGATTGCATCCTCAAGGTGGCAGAGGTGAAAAGCCTTGCTTAACATAAAACAACTGGAGACTATGACATGATGGGTGGGTGGAGTGTGGGAAGAGACAAAAGGTAATGCTCCTGGAAGAATGAGTAAGAAATCACCCCAATGGCTTTCCTCTGCAGGGAGCTTGTGCGCTATGAACCTTGGACTCATTACAGGTTTCAGCACGATTCAGAGGGTAGCAATCAGATTGCTGGGAAACAAAGAGTTTCCACTGGTGCCTTTCCTACTCTCACCCTAATGAGAGTGGAAGAGTGGGAAAAAAAATTTCTTGTTATTGTGAACCATCGTATAAGAAACCACCCAACACTTCCTTCAGCAAAATGGGGAGGAGGGGGAAGGATAGTTAGAACTTTATCAAGACTTTGTGTATAATGCAGTTAAAAATGCAAGCGTATCCTGAGACAGCACTTGGAACATCATCTAACAAGTCTTTGGTAAGTGCCTGAAAAAGAGACAGTCCTTGTATCCACTGTACAAAAACAAAGTTGCTGGAAAAGCTCAGCAGGTCTGGCAGCATCTGTGGAGAAAACAGAGTTAACGTTTCGGGTCCGGTGACCCTTGTATCCACTGTCCCTGCCATGTTACCCTGCACAATTAAACAGTTTAAGTCAAACACAAGTCAACCATCATTGACACACTCAGATGGTGAAGGAACAATAGTGTGACTGGTTTCACAAGCACTTGCCCTGGGGCCCAAAACAACCACTGGAAAGGGATTGGGATTGTGTGGTATTCAGTGCATTAACAGGCTGTTCTTCAAAACAGAAAGTGACAGGATTTCAAAACAATTGAAAAACATTCACACGCACAGAGCAGAGGGAAGAACTTTGTTGTACTTACGGGTCTGCACTGGCAGGTATAACCAAGTGGAGTGTTTACAGCAAACATGCAGGTCCCTCCATTCTGGCAGGGCTGAGAAAGGCAGAGGTCAACAATGGTCTCACAGCGACGACCTACAAGAGATCAGTGGCTTGTTTTATTGATGGAACAATAAAACATCCTTGTCAGTTCCTGCATTAAGCAGGGTGAGCATTAGGTGAGGTGCAGTCCATACAATTTTGATTTATGACACAATGTTTGTTTTGATGAGGGCACTGTCTTTCCTGTAGGGAGGGAGAATGCCACTTTGAACACAACCTGAAAAAAATGATAGGTTCCATTTTTCTACTACAAGATACAACACACATCTGCATACTAAGCAGACAAAAAACAAAAGGTCTATCCCTTTGGTTAATAAATCCATGAAAAACAATTATTGTAGGTTGAAACAGCTGGGAGCTTGTTTAAGAAAATCCAGCATTGACAGAAACAAAGAACTGCTTTTCGTGGCTGTTCATTGTTACAGCGATGCACCATTCTTACGAATAACACATTGAGCATGTCTATAATGCCACAGCTGGGGTTATATGGGGCAGCTCTGAGCAGCAAATTAGCAGTTCCCTATCTCTGCAAACTTCGCCAGCATTACCATCTTTCAAGAATCGTGTTCCTCCAAGCCAGGCCTCGTGTACCCCTTCATCCCACAATAGTGACTGTGCCATTAGCTGCAAGCTCTGAAACGCACCCCTATGTCTCAAATTGCCTCACAGTGCCAGGGACCCGGGTTCGATTTCACCCTTAGGCTCTCTGTGTGTAGTCTGCACATTCCCCCCAACCCCGTGTCTGCGTGGGTTTCCTCCCGGTGCTCTGGTTCGTTCCCACAGTCCAAAGGTGTGTAAGTTAGGTGGACTGGCCATGCAAAATTGCCCTGTGGTGTCCAGGGATGTGTAGGGTAGGTGGATTAGCCATGGGGAATGCAGGATCACAGGGATGGGGTTGGGTCGGGGGGGATGCTTGTTGGAGGGTCGGTGTGGACTTGATGAGCCAACTGGCCTGTTTCCACACTGTCGGGATTCCATTATTCTAATTTTACTCCTTCTTCCTCTGTCTTTAAAGGCGGGGGGGGGGAGAGCGGGGGTAAGTGGATCTATAGCCATGCAGATGTTGGATTGAATGACCTTCCTCAAACATACTTAGGTCATAGTCATGGATCTTAAGATCAATCAGAAACACATCATGGTACCAATTTGAATGATCTGTGGACAGGAAGTTGGATCTTCTCCAAACAGCTGGATCATTCTTCACGGTTAAAATAAACGAAGATGACATTCTCGAATCAATGCAGGATTGTTTCCATACTGATGCAAGCAAGAACACCAGAATCTTGCTGTACAATGCAAGATCTTTAGGCCTAACAAGTTCATCAAATATTATTAAACTTTTTCAACACAGTACTCTCTCTCATCCAACTGTTTTGGAGAACCATTTAAACTGTCTCCTTCAAAGACTCCAGTAGTATCGGTGAAAACTCAATCCTTGAAGTGTGGTGAACTAACTGGTACTAATTCCCTTCACTGATTGAAAAATTTCAAATTAAGAAATCTTAAAGTCTGTTCTTGATCACTGAGCCACTGAGCAACTGAGCACCAATCAGCTGCAGTTGTCTTTATTGCTCCAGTTAACTTCACCATCAAACAATGATACGTCCGACGCTGGATGCAAGGGAACAGGTTGAGAGACAAGCGAAGTAGCCTTGCTGCTCGAGGCGTCAAGTAACAAAACTACAAAGCCACAAAGACTCCAGATCTGGGTTGAACTGGTGGACTTCAACAACGACAGCTTCTAATGAGGTGTCACAATTGGTTTTGTTGTATCCCCTCCTTAAAAGTAAGGCAGTGTTGCAGCTCCTAAATCATCCTCATTGAGGTGGTGAGTATTTGGGACAAACACTGAAGATGCCATGCATTTTTAAGCTTTTCTTAATTACTGGCTGGGACAGAGTTTATTGCCCACCCTTAATTGCTTAGACAGCATTAACAGTCAACCACATTGCTGTGGATTTGGTGGGTCACATGGCAGACTGGGTAAGGATGGCAAAATTCCTTCTATGAAGGACATCAGCGAACCAGGTGAGTTTTTTTTTTAGAACAATTGACAGTGTCACAAGGTTACCATTAGGCTGGTTTATTTTTAATTGCAGACTTTGTTTGAATTCAAATTTTACCACCTTGTCATGATGGGATTTGAACTCGTGTCCTCACAGCAACAGCCTGAGGCTCTAAATTACTACTCCAGCGAGAATACCATCATGCCACGACTTCTGCAATTGAACAGCCCAACACAGCCCCCTTGCTTCTCAAACCCAAGGAGCGGTCACTTGAAAGGCATGCCTGGAGACCCACTGGTGAGCAAACTGGGAGCACTTGGCAAGGACGAAAACCAGAAGGATCGCTTTGTGACTCACCTGTGAAACCAGGTCGGCATTTGCACAGGTAATCGTTGGTTAACTGCACACAGTCAAGGCTGCCTTTGCGATCACATGGGTTGGAGAGGCACTCATTAACATCCCCTTCACAGCGCTCTCCGATGAAGCCTGGTGGGCAGATGCAGCTGTAGCCACCAACTTTGTCAACGCATTGCCCACCATTGAGACACTTGTGCTCCCCAGTGTGTGGATCAATATTGGGTTCACAATCATCGTTGTTTATTTCGCACAGAATGCCTGCAAACATGGAGCACATCGTTTTGGAAAAAAATAAATCAATAATTACCGCTGTTTTTATATTTTCTGTGCTTGCCCCTTCACCCCTTTCTTACTTAACCCTATTCCCTTGTTCAAAATCC